CTTTAAAACCTCCGAACTGTCTCTGAACCTCGCCTTCCTTGAGCGCTGTATTGATGACATACGATCCTGGATGAGCTTCAATTATCTCAAACTCAATGAAGAGAAGACTGAGTTTTTAATCCTTGGTTCGCGACAGCAAGTCAGAAAGCTTCACTCTGACTCTGTATACCTTCATATTGGTGATACCACTGTGTACCAAACTGCCAGTGCCCGTAATCTGGGAATCACCTTTGATTCAACAATGGCCATGGACACTCATATTTCACTAACCAGCAGAGCATGCTACCATAGCATCTATAACATCAGTAAAGTCCGCCATCTACTTGATACTCCAACAGTTAAATTGTTGATGCAATGTCTTGTGACCTCCAAACTACATTACTGCAATGCATTGTATGCTAATCTTCCCATGAAAGCCATATCAAAGCTACAACGCATTCAGAACTCTGCAGCTAGATGCATCTCTAAAGTTCCAAGATCCAATCACATCAGTCCTGTCCTCAAAGCACTACATTGGCTTCCAGTCTCCTTTCGTATAAACTATAAGATATGTATCATCACTCACGACTGCCTCAACAATAGCGACTATCCAGACTATCTCAAAGATCTTATATCCCTGTACTCTCCAGGGCGTGCTCTCCGATCCTCTGGTGGAACTCTACTGTATCAGCCTCTGTCTACTTCTGCTATGTCTGACCGTGCCTTCTCCTTTTGCAGTCCACAGTTATGGAACCCTTGCCCTTGAATCTGAGAAACTCTGTTTCTAAGGAAACGTTTAAGTCTCTCCTCAAAACCCACTTCTTCACCTCAGCTTTTCAATAGATCTCCTGATTGTTGGCATACGTACATAGACATTACTTTTTAACTTTGTCACAGCGCTAGAGCACTGTCGATGGATATTAGGCGCTTTACAGATCAATTATTATTATTTAATAACATTTGAGAAGAAGAAGAAGTTTATTCCGCATCAAAGGCTGCATGGCCAAGAGTACAATATCAAAGATACACTTGTTATAGTGCGCAAACTTGCTTAATAATTCATATGAAAATATAAAAATAATATTCAAAATTTATAAAATAAAATAACGTATCTTTACAGTCAAACCTCGGACATCTCACATAAATGGCAGTAACTCACTTAGGTTGTAAAAACATGCCGCGAGACATAATTTAGATAATAGATGTCCGTTCGCATTACAGTCACCGGCTGCGTGTCAATTCCAGATTGACACGCTGACCAATAACGGTATCCCCTTGACAAGTCGGCGGTCAGTCTAAAACTAAAACTCTCAACTAAACGCCAGCCTTTTTTTTATATTACCTATATCCACTATAGGTAGACATTAGTTAGGTAATCTATGAGAATATTGCATCAACCCGGAACAACACATGAAATAACAAAGGAAGTAATGGTGACAATAAATTAAAATAATGTTTTCAAAACTAAACCAATCAGAGTTTGCTATGCGTCCCACCACTATATAAGTGGGTGCAGTCTGACTACCAAGAACCCGTGTGCGAAATACGCATCAGTCGGAAAGCGCACGTTAATTCTCCAAAGTATGTAAGTAAATAACTACCAAGAAGCCGTGTGCGAAATACGCTACAGTCGGAAAGCGCACGTTAAATCTCCCATATCAGTCAGTCAGACTACCAAGTCACACTGCACCTGAATAAATCTTGGAACGCTAGCAACTTTGATGTCATCATTTATTCTCAATTCTTCCATTTTATTTTAAGGTCTATTATATGGTCTCTGGTAACACATTGTCATGCGTTGTTTCAATGGTTGTTTTCATTCATGTTGAATGTGTATTATGATTATTGTCTTAGATTTCTCGAACATTGTATATTTTCAACCACATGCGTTGGTTCATTGTTAAGTTATTGTTTAATGTATTTTGAATCTTCGATAACGATTAGGAATGTTTTCAATGCGCACTATGCCACTATAGGTATCACTGCCACTGTAGGTTGTAGTAATTTCGATCAACAAAAATATGAAATTAATTATTCCTGATCAACATCTTGATAACCGTTTGATAAATAAGAAATCTAGTACAAGTATCAACAACATCGTAAAGTAAAATATGTCATGTCGTCAATATGTGTAGATTCATTGCTAGCAGTAATGCTGGACTTAGTTAATAGTCAGTCAGCTTTGTTCTTGATAGGAAATGAAATACCTGCAACTTGATGTTAATAGTTGAATGCACAATGCTCGTATGCGAGCTCTGCATAAAGTAGCTAAATAACACTTGTATTAGAAGAACTACGGTAATGCGCGTAACTGCATTACCGTAATATATCATTAATGTTGCATGATTTCAGCTGACATAGGCATTGTGAATCATATGAGTAGTCTTTGTTACTGTGCCGCTATTCAAAGTTCCATCCTGATCTATTTGTGTATAATGTAATGGTGATTATTTGATGTGTATATGGTGATTATAAGATTGAAGCGGAATGCTTATTGATTTATATTCTGAGTAGTTATGTCATAAGAAACCACGACGTTATGACAATTATTTGTAATGATATAATTTATGATTATTAGATATGATTATGTGATTAATTGAATTGAAATGTTTATTAAACACACTGCACCTGAATAAATCTGGGAACGCTAGCAACTCTGATGTCATCATTTATTCTCAATTCTTCCATTTTATTTTAAGGAAACATTACCGTGAGAAAGCACGTTCCCACACTTGGTGGGACAACTGTTATGATATCTTAACACAATATTTATGATACAGGCAGATTTCTTTTCAAATATATGGCAATATTCTTAATTAGCTTAACATTTTTTGTCGCTACTAGTTGATTAAATTTTGCTCGTGCTGGATACTTGTGATAGTAGCTTGGGGTGTAGAGCTTTCTGTTTTCCATAAAAATGGACAAACTGAAAGGAAATGGTATTCATCTTTAATTATATTATGATTACACTTCTTGCACTTACGTAAGTCAGTATTAGGTACCTCTACGAGGGAAATTTAATTGAGATTTAAGCTGTAATCGATCTTATTATCCATATGTAGTCAAAATGAGAGTTCGGAAATGTTCAGAATACACATAAGGGGATTAAGAGTCACACTTCTAGGAGTAAGTGAGTGAGTGAGTTGGGTTTAACGCCGCTTTTAATTGTATTCCAGTTATATCACGGCGTGTCAGCTTAAAGTGGGAGGAAAGTCCGAAGTAATGCAGGTCGCAGACGTTTAACACTTCGGTGAAACCCACGAGCACGAGTTTGGTGCTGACAAACCTAGAAACATAATTGGGGCGAACCGGGATTCGAACCCACAATCATAGGTTTCTGGCATGCCCAAGGGACGCAACTCTGCACAGCGAATTGCGGCGCCTTAGACGACTGGGCCACCCGTGCCCCCTACTAGAAGTGGATATTGGGTGTTGTGGACTGCTACCCTCTTAACTTTCACGGATATAGTAGCACAAAAAAAGTACCCCACAGCATGAATATTTGTCACCTCTACGGGGGTATTGGGGGTATAATCAGTGGTTGATTATCCTTATAATAATGGCAAATCGTCCAAATAATAGTTAAATACATGTAGTGTCAACATATTTAGTGTTTTATCCTTTTTATCATTACACTTATTATAAGTAGATATTTTCATCAAATCATCAAACTATTTTATTACCAGAAGTTGTGTTACTCGTGGTTTTGACTGCATCGATAACGGCAACAGTAAAATGTGAAGCAGAATTGAGTAGCCCAAATATTTCCTTGGACTCCCCTGAAACACACTATAACTATATGCCCCCGTATTATGTTACCAAGAGAGACCCATGGCTTTTTGTAGCATTTTGTTCTTAACCACTAAGAAATAACGTAATGTTAACGATTGGCTGTGAAAGAAAACGAAACACTTTTATTACTACATCAATTACCCCGAGTCGAAACACTGACACAACTATCTCCCTTGACCGAGCTTCTTGTCGTGTGCAATAGATCTACCTGTGATATGTGTCATGTCATGGTGACGTTATAGTTTGCTTCATATTTCGTGCCGCGGGATAATGCTTTTACTGGTCTGGACTTAAAATGGCTATACTAGTCTACTGAGATACCATGCCGCAGTGTAACACAGTATACCCTGTTCAGATACAGTATACTCTGTGCCGACTCTTGTTTTATGCCGTTTATTCCAAGCGCCAGACAGGGTAACACAAACTACCATCTTTTAAAGTGGCGGGACGCTCTCGTCAAATGGTATTTCCTCGATACGTGTAGATATTGATGGTATAAATATATGAGTGAGGGAGGAAAGCCCGAAGTGATGCAGGTCTCAGACGTTACCTCGTTAGTGAAGGAAGCGATCACCCGTTCAACAGACAGATGTATTACACATTGTGTTTTTAATTATATATATAAAACTTGTTATTGTTGTAAATTATAGTTTAACTTCTTATAAATAGCTTCGAATTTGTGACATTATAATCTTGAATTGAAAAATGCCGCTTATTCGCTATTAGTAAATATATGTCATTGATATATGGAAATACAGACCATAAATAAAACGTCGCTTCATACCTGGTCGAAAATAACATTAGTGAAATCTTCAAATGAAAAAACATATGGTTCGCGTGATCGTAAATAAACTGCTGCATTTTCTATGTAAGATGCCTGAAAAAAAACAATTAATCATTGTTGCTCCTTCATCAGTCAATATAAACTGTCACACACTTCAGACGTTACATTGAAAGGGTGTTTATTTGTGTGTTTTCTACCAGGCAATAATGGCATCACCACATGAGGATATGACACAACCTATTTTATGATTGGTACGATGTTTTCAGCATGTATGTGGCTGTCTGTGACAACAGCTTCCCAATAAATAGCAATCAAATTCACAAGTGTTTGTCATCATATGCTGAAAATTATGTTTCCAAATTAAAAATGAAACTAAGAAAATTTTGAAAAATTGGCCTTGCACCTTTAAGTGAGTATACCAGATAATCCAGTTTAGCCGGCTGCTCAGGTCAATAGCCGGTCTTGTTAAGTAGTTCGTGACCGCATGCACAGTGGAGACTGCACGACAGTAGAAACAGGGATTTCGGTAAGGTTTAGAATGTGTATTGTGATGAGGTGCATGCAAGGATTAACTGTTTCTCTCCTATGTGTCTGTATACTCGCATTGCAGCGCTCTGTTGGCATTAGCAGCCATGCTAAAGATGATCGGCCATAGTCGGCCATCCTTGTTTACAATAACGTATTAGTTTGTTATGGGGACCAACCTATTTGTTAACTGATATGGATGTACATGTATATGGATTTTGACCTGCGTTGTAGTTTTTCTTATAATAATATGTGCATTTTTGAAGCTGAAACTGTATTATGAGCATGCCTTATAGCATATGCATACTTCCAAGGTCATAGTAATTTAATCTGAAAGTTACAACAACAAAAACAAAGTGGCGATATGTCCTTCATTTAAATGTTTAAATCACAAAATGATGAACAAGGTAAGATAAGGGCCCGTTTCTTAATTAAGAATTGGGTAAAACTTTTAGAAGTTCTTATGAAATTCATCATATATGTTCTTAAGAATGAGAACCAAACTTTGTTCATTTCAATAATTGCATGTTTGGGACTTATGACAATACTAAATGCATAAGCAAGGATACAATGTGTCAAAATGGCTGATTTTAGAGGCGTCATGAAGCGTTATTCTGATTATATCAACATCAGTAAGCCCTTCTTCCCTACGAACATGTGTACAAAATCATCTTGGGTCAAGGACTTGTTCATACTTAGATTTATTATTTTCTATTCTAAAAAATGTGCCCCTTTCACTCATTTAGACATACTTGTGCATTTGACCATATTAAAAGACCAAACCTTGCAAGTGTGAGAAAGAAGAAAGACGTTCGACATTCATTTGTACATGTGTGATCATTTACATTCCAATATTTCAAAATTTTCTGCAACCTTAAACATTGCCATTTCCAGTGGACCCAAAAGGATCGATATGTCCCATCTCCTGCTTTTAATTCTTCATAATGAATATGAAATCAACGTGGGTTCACTGTATTCAACTTCGGCCATATGTGATATTACAATAGTATGTTTTCTGAACCACATATTCAACATGGATGTTTAACGCCACAAGGTGGTTGAAGGAAAACCTTTAATTGGGGGAGATAAAAGTTGGAAATATATAAAATAAATAAATGTATTAAGAACAGCGTTTAAAGAACCTCCAAAGGCAACCCCAAATAAATCACAAATGAAACTATGAATGACGAAGACACAAGCCATTACAAAGCGATGCTGCCAACGATCATCAGCAATTACTTGACAAACTTATACTCCGTTCACATGCACAACACGTACTAACGTAAGTAATTTTACACATGTGTAACTATACATACACATGCTAAACTGCGGCATGGTATCTCAGTGGGCTAGCACTTTAAATCGGCATCAGTCCGGACTAGTACAAGCAGCCACACACACACACACACACACACACACACACACACACACACACACACACATGCATGCACGTCGCTATATAAGTGCAATAATCTTGGACGCGACTTTAAACCCAATTTCACCTTCACCTCACCATTCACACCTTGATATAGCATGAAGTTAAAGTAAATGATGAAGGTTGTGTTGTCATGCCGTAGAAACAGATTTGTCGGAAATCTAGTTATGTAATACAATGGTGACCTCTTTTCATAGCAATATTACAAATTATAATAAAATGTTTCACATCATGACAGATATACCATTCCCGACGGCAAGCATCATGTCTGTGGATGAGGTTCAACAAACAATTCCAGCCAGAGTGAAGCAATGGTCAGTGACCCATCCAGACAAGGAAGTGTTTATCTTCTATAGTGATGAAGGAAGGCGTGATCTCACCTGTAAAGATGTACACAACCTCTCCACAAAGTTTGCTGCACTTCTTCAGCGTCGGGGGTTGAAACAAGGAGATGTGGTCTGTAATACTCTCACCAACTCTCCCGAACGTCTTATCACTGATTTTGGCATCATGACTGCTGGCTGTGTTGCTGCTAATGCCCAGGCACTGCTGGCGGACGGTACTGATCTGTTGCATGTGATCAACTTGAGTGGCTGTCGTCTACTGATTGGGGACAACACATTACCTGGGGGTGCTTGGGATCTTCTCAAACCACATCTGGGAGAAATCATGGATTTGAAAGTGAAATCAATCAATGCTCCTAAACTGGAAATAGTGGAGTTTGTTGGTGTGAAGGGAGGTGGCGACTACCTGGAGATGCTGCATCAGGAAGGAGACCCAGTTCCAGTTGAGATACTACCAACAGACACAGCTCTGTATTGGGCAACTTCGGGCAGCACTGGCTTTTCAAAACTTGTGCCAAAGACGCATGAAATTTTGTTTCTCCTTGCTAGCAGTTTTACGAAGATGTTTCAAATCCAAAATGAAAATGATGCACTGTACAGTGACCGACCTTTGGGCTGGGGAGGAGGATGGCCTTATGTATTTATTGACATAGCAATGCCACAGATATTGACGGACACAAGAGGTTCTGTCGGAGATCAAGCACAACTTACCTTGGACATACTACAAAAACATAAGTGCACTGTTGCTATATTGACTCTATCGTTCATGGGGAAACTTGCAGAAAAAGCAACGTCTCTGGGAAATACATGTGGTCTACAACAAAGATTGATGTGCATAGCAACTGGGCAACCATTTGCCAAACATTGCTTTAGGTTTATTGGTAAAATCTGTCATTCGGTGGCGTCTGCATACGGAATCACAGAGGTTGGGTATGTATCGAGTTGTATTTGTCAGAAGGAGGAAGACTTTGAAGACAACCTGGTTGGACGTAGCAGTCACGTGGAGGTAAAAGTGGTAGATGAACAGTTTGAAAATATTGGCCCAGGCAAGGACGGGCAAGTCCTGCTTCATGGACAATGTGTGTTCAAGGGATATGTTAACAATCCTGAAGCTACAAAAGCAGCTTTTACGGATGACGGTTGGCTCAAAACAAATGATATTGGACATTTTGATGAGAAGGGGCGTCTTTTTGTCGAAGGAAGACGTTCAGATGCCATTTTGCACGGAGAGTACATCATATACCCATCCTGGGTGGAGAAGAAGTTGAGAACATGTCCCTATATTTCTGAGGTCATGGTGGTCCCCGTTCCTCATCCAGACATGTGTCATGAGGTCTGTGCCTGTGTCATACCCAAAACAAACATGGATGTCACCACCAAGATGATCAAAGATCACTGTGACCCAATGTTCATCAGCGATTCCCTCCATGAAATATCAGCCAAACCAGCCTACTATGTTCTGGTGGAGAGTTTCCCTCTCAGACCAACAGGCAAACCTGACAGACGGGCATTATCAGAAACAGCGGCAAAAATGACCTCAATCAGACCCTAAATTCCTGTCCAACCCGCACCAGTGGGCTGCCATGGCAGATGAAACTACCCTGCAGCAGGGAGATAGCATTTGGTACCCCTAAGAGAGTAATTTCATTGTGATTTAAGGTTTAATCAATATTATTATCCATTTTTAGTGAAAATAGGAGTCGAGAAATTAAGTCAGAATACATTTAAGGGGATTTAGTATTATGATGATATTATCACGCCAACACCAGTATATATTTGTTTTGGACAGTTTCCTTCTTAACGTTCTCAAATATGGCTTCCCTCCCACATTAAGCTGACACGTCGTGATATAACTGGAATAATGTTAAAAGCGCTGTTAAACCCAACTCACTCACTCACTCAAATATGGTTGCACATATTATACTTCCTTAAGGCAGGGGTATAATGTTTGTCACCTCTACAGGGGTATTTGGTAGTGGTATTTAGGCAGTGTATTATCCTAATAATGATATTCAAATATTCACAAATATAGTAGTGGGGGGCACGGGTGGCCCACTCGTCTAAGGCGCCGCGATTCACTGTGTAGAGTTGCGTCCCTTGGGCACGTCAGAAACCTATGATTGTGGGTTCGAATCCCGGTTCGCCCCAATTATGTTTCTAGGTTTGTCAGCACCATACCCGTGCTCGTGGGTTTCACCGAAGTGGTAAACGTCTGAGACCTGCATCACTTCGGGCTTTCCTCCCACATTAAGCTGACACGCCGTGATATAACTGGAATACTGTTAAAAGCGGCGTTAAACCCAACTCACTCACTCACTCACAAATATAGTAAAGGAATATCATCAGAATATATTCTGTGAAGATCCCTGCGACCCAATTCCCTGGGTTCCCTCAATGAAATATCTGCCAAACCAGCCTTCTACCTTCTGGTGGAACATTTCCCTCTCAGACCAACAGGGGGCACGGGTGGCCCAGTCGTCTAAAGCGCCGCAATTCGCTGTGTAGAGTTGCGTCCCTTGGGTACGCCAGAAACCTATGATTGTGGGTTCGAATCCCGGTTCGCCCCGATTATGTTTCTAGGTTTGTCAGCACCATACCCGTGCTCGTGGGCGTTAAATCCAACTCACTCACTCAGACCAACATGCATACATGACAGACGGGCAATTGGTATCCATCCCGCATCCAGTGGGCCGCAAGGGCAGATTTAATTCCTAGAGAATTAACTATTAGTACCTCTACGAGAGTAATTTAGTTGGAATTTAAGCTGTAATCGATATCATTACTCATATATAATCAAAATATGTAATCGGAATATCTGATGAACGCCACAACTATAAGTATATATAAGTTGTGGATGGCTGGCTTCCCTCTCAGCGTTATCAAATATGGTTGCACAAAAGAAACTACCCTACAACAGGAAGATGATGTTCGTTACCTCGATGGGGTATTGGATATGGTAGTTGTTATTATCACCCTTATAACAGAGCTACTGATAAGCTGCGTATTGGCGTAAAATATCTCCCAAAAGTACTGTAAACAGGGAATTTTTTGCGACCGTTTTATTATTGCGAGTTTTGCGAACGAGACTCAATCGCAAAAATTAAAAACGCAAAAATACGTATAAATAATACATACATACTATATTCATTGCAACACGTCATCAAATGTTGAAATCATCAACCAGAGCCACAAGTTACTCAATAAGTTAAAAACACAAATGAATGCAGAATGGTCACACAATACATCACAAATGACTGTAAACAGACCAATTAGTGTCACTGTTACCTCACAGTAATCCTGCCTTCTTCCAACCTCGCTTGATTGCGTCTTTGCAATTTTGTCCACACAGGAAACAAGCCATCTTGCTTGAATCGGTTTGCGTACAGAACTTGCGTACAGAAACGCATGGCTTAAATAAAAAACTCAAATGTATAAAAACAGCATGCCTAAATACCCAAATAAAGCTTTTTCAGCAGGAGTACAATGGAGCTAATTTCCGAAACACAATTACGAGCGAATTTACTTTCCGAGTCAAGCCTATGGTTAGAACCGTTATATACATATAAAACATTTTTTTATAATTATTTTTAAATCTCAAAATGTTTAATCATGCAGGGAGTGATGAATAGATGAGTGAAAAAATATTGGTTACCCAATGAAAAATGTAATAACCTAAATTAAATAGAAACCTTCGAGCAAAAACTCAGTTGGTCAAAAGGTTATCTGGAGCTCTGTTATAGTAATGTCAAATAGTCAAAATAATACTAGAAATCAAAGAATATAATTAGAATTTATATAGTGTGAACACATTTCATGTTGCGATTTTATTTTTCAAAAACTGGAAATAGTCCCCGAATTTATGCTTCAGACTGTTGAAATAAAAATAAATTGTCCTCCACAAAAAATTACAACATTGTTGCAAGGTGTATTTCTTTGAAGAATATTCATGCTCATGGTTTTAATTTTTAAAATATCTGGTATTGACGCTGTAGCTAAAGAAATATCTAATCACCAGAAAAATAACAAGGCCCCCCACAAGAATATCAAATGGTCCGTCTTACACGTAGCTATTTTCACTAAAGTTAGTTACTGTCTGGTACTGTCTTTATTGTGATAACAATACGAGTTTGTGGAACCGTTCTTTATTATATAATCAGAGATGCCAAACAGTGTGTTTGCAAAATTATGGTTTCATGTTTTTTAGTTCAGGCCTTTGTCACCTGAGTTGCCATTAATTCATTGTGAATCTGTATTTCATACCTGTAATTCATTCAGTCAATATCCCACACACTATTTACGGTATTTGCGGAAGTGTTATTGTTGTGCACATTCTTGCTCGTCTTGACCGTATTTACCGAAGTACATATTGCACTCCACATGTCATGGTTCTTTGTACTGTTACCGTACATACTCTACGATACTTTTATCATTATTCAGAGAATTAATTAACTGTTAGTCTGCACGTGATGTATCCCAGTAAGCTGTTATATCCTTCACAGAATTACGCATTATATCTTACTGTACATATTCTAAGATAATCTCATAGATTTTCGTTCTTGGTAGTCAGAGATTACAGCGACCCTCTCAGACCAACAGGCAAATCTGACAGACGGGCAATATCAGAAATAGCGGCAAAAATGACCTCAATCAGACCCTAAATTCCTGTCAAACCCGCACCATTTGTTGGTAAGATCTGTCACTTTGCAACATCTGCATATGGAATCACAGAAGATGAGTATGTATCGAGTTGTGTTTGTGAGACGGAGAAAGACTTTGAAGACAGCCTGGTTGGACGTAGCCCTCACATGGAGGTTAAAGTAGTTAAAGGAAAGTTGGAGCAGGTGAACATTGGCAAATATTGATTCGTGGACATCATGAGTTCAAGGGATACATCAACCATCGTGAAGCTACAACAGCACCTGTTACAGATGACGACTGGTTTAAAACAAATTATATTGGACATTTTGGTGAGAAGGGGCGTCTCCCTATATTTCTGAGGTCATGTTTCATATTTCATCAGCGAAACCTCCATGAAATATCTGTCAAACCAGCCTACTATGTTCTGGGGGACAATTTCTCTCTGAGACCAATAGGCAAACCTGACAGACGGACATTATCAGAAAGAGCGGCAAGATATACCTCGACCAGGACTTCATTTGCCCTTTGACAATCGATCTGAAAGGGCTGATGACAAGTCCATTCGGTGGAACGATATTTGGTGTTAACTTTTCATAGTGTTTTTAAAACAGGGGCTTCAGGTGCAAAAGCTTTCTTATACTTATTTGTTGTGTGGATATGTGAATTAACAGTCAAGGAATAAAATCGGATCATAAGGACATCACACCATCTTGAGCCTTTACAAATTCTGTTTACATTTTGTGCAGTATTTGTCACCCATGCTTGTCGTAAGAGGAGACTAACGGGATCGGGTGGCCAGGCTCGCTGACTTGGTTGATGCATGTCGTTGTACCCCAGTTGTGTGGATCAATGCTCATGATATCAATCACTGGATTGTCTGGTCCAGACTCGATTATTTACAGACCGCCGTTGGACTTGATCATGTTAAGGTCGAACAAACACTGTAATTCGAATTATGTTTGGAATCGGAAGGATTAAGAGATGTTGTTATATTTTACCGCACTTGGTATTACAATTTGCCGCAGTTTGTTACAATTTGCCGCACCTGTCTTTCAATGGGAATGATAGAAATTGAAACAAAATCGCTTCTTTTGATTTCCTTAAACATGCTGGAGGTTGGAATTGATCATGTTTAGGTCGAAAAAACGCTGGAACTCGAATTCTGTTTTGAGTAAATACAAATATTAATTATTTCATATGTAGTAGTGTTTATCAGTTCAGTCGTTTCAAATTCCGGATTTTGATTTCCAAACAGCTTAGTCGCACATTTTAAACTTCATGCATATTTCGTTGCATATTTGAAAATGAATAATATTTTATTACAATTTACCCTGTGGTTATTACAATTTGCCGCAGTTTTTATTACAATTTACCGCAGTGAAATTATTAAAATGTACCGCAGTGTGTATTACAATTTACCGCAGTATTACATTTTACCACAGTTTATTACAATTTACCGCGTTACTACAATTTACGTCGTAACAGACCTCCACTCTGTCCACGACATGGGACTTAGGCATATATGCTTGATGAAATAGAGTGACATGGTACATCCAGTATTATTTGAAGGACAAGACTGGAAATGGGCACTTGTGATGAAGAAGTGAGGGAACATCTTGAAAATCTCACCCCCATTTATTTACATATAAATCTATAACCCACAACATGGAACATAATATATTATCTACATTTGCTCACATTGAAGATGTTACCCCTCCATTCACTGTCAATAACATTAAATTTAAAGATAGACATCGAGGGCCCCTTCCGAGCGCTGCTTAATCCCCAAACGAACGAGATTGTATTACAAAACTATTATTGCCACATCTGCACGTCTTAAGCGGTAGTTATAACACGGGGCTTCCCAGTCAGGTCAAAACCGAAATTCGGGAGGATAAAGGGGATAAGGGCTGGTGGGTTATAGTCTGTTCCTGACAGGTGAACACCAGTTAGCTCATCGATCCCAGTTGTGTGGATCGATGCTCATGATGTCAATCACTGGATTGTCTGGTCCAAACTCGATTATTTACAGACCGCCGTCATATAGCTGGAATATTGCCGAGTGCGGCGTTAAACAACAAACAAACAAACGAATCAAAAGCTCAAGGTATATTAAGATCAAGTAACGAAATGGAGATCATATTCTGAAGCGGTCGTAAAATCTATAAGTTAGTGTAGGTCATAACCATTATGGCAGACGCTCCATTTTATTCCACACACCAAGGGTGGTAGAATATTGGTTCATGTTGACTATCAGTATACCACACACCAAGGGTGGTAGAATATTGCTTCATGTTGACTATCAGTATACCATACACCAAGGGTGGTAGAATATTGGTTCATGTTGACTATCAGTATACCACACACCAAGGGTGGTAGAATATTGGTTCATGCTGACTATCAGTATACCACACACCAAGGGTGGTAGAATATTGGTTCATGCTGACTATCAGTATACCACACACCAAGGGTGGTAGAATA